CTGAGATAATAAATAGAGAAATTAGCATTATTTAATAATCTAGAAAGGATAATTATCTGATCACAAACATCTAATTCGCATTTTTTTTTCATCATGTGTCAATAGACAAAAAGCTTTATCGTTATAGGTAATATAACCCCCGTAGCACACCCACAAGATTTATTCCGGCACGTGACCATGGCCAACTAGATTGAAGGATGGTATAACGTGAAAATCACGTCCTTTTAAAAAATCGCTATTAACTCGAAACTTTACCTATGAAACTGCTTTCTGCGTTCTAATAAAAAAACTTCCTCGTGAAATTTTAGTGTAACATACGACCTTTCTAAAGATGATGCTTATTACTTTAAAATCTTTCGCTTAATTCGAATTTTGATTTTACATTGCACCTGATCCTTCGATCTAATTGGCCAAAATCACGTGCCGAAAAAAACCTTGTGGGTGAGCTACTAATGTCGGTAAATCACAAGACGAAGTCACAAGATTAGAATAACCAATCGGATAAAAAAGAGATACACCATTTCAGATGCCTATAAACCATACTCTACGTTGTACGTTGTACAAACTCCGCTCCTGATATAAAAGCCACACAATAAATCGAATAATATAACGATAACACATAACGAGAATATTACAGTATGGTAAATTTAGGTAACGATCATCATCACAAATGCATGCACACAAAGTCACAAGGTATAAGCATCCAATCAAATGCCTAGAATTGCGAATACACTCCGTATTTCATACTCCGTTCCTGGTATTTTTTATTCTCAAAACTAGTAAGCAAGTAAATCTTTAAATGTTATTTTAAATGACAATTTAATAAAAAATTTAAAGACATTTTGCGATTTCTACATAACGGGGATCGCACTAACTTGATAATTGTAATAAAACTTAATTGCGTATTTGATTACATTAATTGATCGTAAAAATCTCTCCACTTTCTCATCTCTCTCATATCATTTTGATGTTGAGCTCTTTCTGAATTAATCTGAATATTTAATTTGTCTGTCATACTTATTAATTCGCTAACTACTATTCCATATGTTGTTTCCACCTCGCTTAGTTTAACATTCATTTGTTCAGTCATCGTGGTAGTTATACTAGCTTCTCTCGCTGAATGCTGACAAGCTAAATTAATCAGCGTTTCTTCAAATTCTTGTTGTAACTTTTCTTCTTTTTCATACGCTGCTGCTTCAGAATTTTGGGCTCTTTCTTGTGATTGTCTTAGCTGCTCCTTAATGCCAACCATTTCTTTTTGAATTCTTTCTTTGTCAGTCATGTAGTTTCTAATCCTCTCATTTATTTCATCAAGATTTCTTGGACGATAAACTACACCACAATTAAACTTTAAATGAGCTCTTAATATGTCGCGACATTCTTTTCTTGACCTTAACTCAGGATCTTCCTCCTCGTTCATGTTGTTAACATGAATAAGTTTATTACAAGAAAGAATAATATCGGCTACGTCTTTATTTTCGGCGATCATTTTCTCTCTATCAGCTTTACATTTTTCGGATCTACGAAAACTTGGGAAATTGGTTCGAATAATTGTTGTATATTTACTAATATCATCGGCAAAGAAAACTGTTTGTATTAGATTATAGGCTTTCACTTCTTCTTCAGTGAATCTTCCACTAGTCACGAAAAATATTTGATTTAGGCCATTTTTGATAGCGTTGGTTGCATCAACCAACTTATATAGGACTTCATTTTCATTAAATTTAGTATCACCAATTCCAATTGTGTCTATTATATGAAATTCAATGTTTTCTTCCGCCCAAAATGTCACCTCTTGGACGCCTCTAGTTCTACTGATCCCATACTCACTTTCGGAGAATTGATTGGTGTTACTTATTACATTCGCGATTGTAGATTTTCCGTTGCCAGTTTTTCCCAACAACAGAATTGTGCGTTTTTTATTCATATTTTATCTACTGTTGATTTATTTAATTTATTTATTATTTTGCTATCTTTTCTCTCAATAGCATGAATTCTGGTATCTCAGACTAAATAGCTGGTCGTGTGATTTATCCAAACAGCTTATCAATTTTTTAAGTCTTAAAAATGGAATGAAAAAAATCCCAGAACGATTATTGCTTGTGAAATTTATTTAATAAAAATTCAAACAAAACTTATGAAGTAGGAAATCTGAAAACATCGATTATTTTTATGTATAATAAAAAGGTAACTAACTTATTAAAGATAAATTTGTCAATCTCAATAAAAGCTTATTTAACTTGGTTTTGGCGTATTATTTACATGCAGATTGAAGATTCTAGATATTTTTTTTATTGAAGTTTATAATTTAGGAAATATCTATCTTCCAAGGTTTTTGGTATAACCCAATTCTTTTACAAGAACAAATTTGAGAACATTACTTTTAAGAAATAGTTCTTATGCAAATGCTAAAATTAGCTTTTCCAACGCATGAAATATTTACATCGTTTCAATTACAGTATATTCGTTTACACATAATTAAACAATACGTATTGTATCCTAAAAAAAAAAAAAAAAAGTTCGTTGATTTATTGGATTTTGATATGTGTGCACTAATCAGAAATGCGTATCAATTAACTTTGTAATTAGCATTAATCATGGCCCGTTTTTAATTCTGTTCCATATTGCTTAAGGAAAGCTGTCCTTAATCACAATTTTTTACGAACACTTATGTATGTGCATATTGCATCATTTTTTTTAATTGCACTCAATCATTCATATTAAATATTTATCAAGCTTCAATAATCTATTAGTTTTATTACAGTTTGACATACACCTAAATGTATTGTATGCAAGAAGATTTCATTTCGAGGCTGATTCCAGTTAAGTGCAACATCGAACGGATGTCAGCTTCGTTCACGACATCTAAATCTTTAGATATCAGTTAAAAACTTTTAAATAGGAAAATATCACATATTTATTCCTTATCCGTTTTTATATCATGATTATATTTCCAAGACTAGTAACTTTTGATTGATTCTTACCCGATTTACCATATTTTATATTAATAGGAAGAAATTGGGGTAACTAATTTAAACTACTTTTTAAAATATTTAGAATACAACGTTTCACTAATAAAAAATTACTTCAAATATCATTAATAGTTTCAGCGAAGTACTGATGTTCACTGTGCAAAGAATCAAAAAACGATCAGACTCCCGGAGAACTTCACTTAGAAGACAAGTTTATTGCTTTTTATTAGACCATACAAATTTTATTGTGTAGCAAAATAACTGGAAGTGTTTTTATTTAAAACTACCTGGGTACGTTAAATTAAATAAACTTTTGTTAGTAACTATTTAATTTGAATAGGAATAAGCTTATAGTGAAAGAGAACGGGTTTATCACTTGCATATATTCTGTTTTTGCAGCTTGTTAATCGTAATGAGCTTTAGGCTGTATATTGTATTAATAAATTTGAGTTGTAAGTATTTACTTTTAAAATTGACCAATTAGACTATGAATTTTATATGGCTTAAAGATTTGCAGAAGGTTTAAAAAACCTGATCTGTTCCGGATGATTGAATATTCATAACAAAGATTTAAGGAAATTTTATCGTTAATCTGAATTTATTTAAAAAAAACACCATTTCTGCATTTTGAAATAGCTTTCTAATTCGACTGAATAGGTTCTCACGTCTTCAATGCATATGATTAGCTTACTGATAGACCAAAATTAGGTATAATTAAAGCTATTATTTTGGTTAAAAAAAAAAGACTCGGGAACAGCTCAATATACAATTAGTTGAATCATATCTATTTTAATTGTTTCCAAATTTGTGTTTACGCTCGTAGATCTAAAAAAATCTCTATATTTGAAACAATTGACTGTTACACGACCCATGCCCTACCTTCTTCTATATGGCACTGCAGACGAATCACAATATTCTAGCTCGTGAATCACTCTAGCGACGCCAATCTTAAAAGTTCTTTCTGGTCAAACCAAAATTCAAGATCGGGCGTAACTTAAATTCAAACCCTAACCCTAATCTGGCAACGAAATTTTTAGATTGAATCCTAACTAGAGGTGTGACATTCATGTGATACCTGAAATTTTTTCGCGTACAGTACATTTGTAAATGAAAATGGAATTTAGGTTTATATAAATTCTATAACATGTACAGTTGTTTTTAGTAATTTAATTGGTTGATCGATCGTATTCATATTAATATTGTTGGTAAAATTTTCGCATTGTATATTGATACGCACGTATGCCGTTTCAAAAAGTCTTTCGAGCAGAATCGTTTAAAGATTGTGACGGATTAAAATGAAATCAGATTAAAATGAAATGAGTGATAATGTCAAATAGGCAAGCCCCGAAAAATACAAATTTTTGGGGTGCATTTTAATCCGATTTCATTATGATCCGTGACAGATTTATAGCAGTTTGTGAAATTTGTAGATCATCAAAAAAAAACATTTTTTTTTTTTTGGCTTTTGATCGCACATTCATCATTTTGTAATGCATTTTGATTGTGCATTTTTTTTTTTTTGAAGAAATAGAAGGTATAGATTCATTATTTTGTAGCATAATTGATTTAATATCTTTTGTAGGAATATAGTTTACGAATTCATTATTTTGTAAGGAATTTATTGAGTATTATTAAATTTTAGTTTTTTCTTTAGCCAGATAAAATTTACTGCTGCATGATGAGCAAAAAGAAATTTAAAAGTTGCACCAAATTCAATCTTATAATTATAGCAAATTGATTTGTTTATTACTGAAAGAATCATGAAATTTCAAAGTAAAAGAATAAGGAACTTTAGTACAATTTTTTTATTATTAGAAATACTGTATATTTTTTTTTACATTTTCAATAAATTCTAGAAGTTAAAGTTGCACAAATCATGTTCCGGGATAACAATAACCTTCAGCCATTTAGAAAAGATAGATATATATATTTTTTTGTAAATAAATACTATATACTGTATATTATATATAGGGAAAACTTGTAATTATGAATTTAAATTTTATTATACGTACAAAACCTAAATTCAGAAATTTAATAATCAATGTGTGTCCTAATTCCCCCACCACTTCACTAGAGAACTATAAAATTGATTAATAACACAGATACTCGAATATGTGAATAATTAGTAGAACCAATCAGGGAATTAGTAATTCATAATCAGCGATATCAAATTTTCTGAGTTCAAGTTCCTAAACTTAATTTTAAATCCGCACTTACAGGTTTTCCCTTGGCAGCACTCATATATGTATTGTTTGATATGCATGCGTCATCAGAAGTAATATCAAAAGTAAACAATAAATTCTTTCGATTAAATTTTGTAAAAGTTTAGTTAAAAAAAATATCATACATCTTTATTATTATTGGTCAATCAATTACAAAAATAATACTGTATACTAATGAATTTTATACTAGAAATTTTAAACCTGTTATTTAAATACCAATTTGATAAAAAAATATATATATAATAAAATAAGAAATTTAACGAAATTTAAGATCTGCTAACTTGATAATTGTAATAAAACACAGTCATATAAATTCATTACATTACGTTACATCTAGGACCAGGACTCGTGCTCCTAATTGCATTCTCAAAGGCTTGTGTGGTTTTAGTATGCTGTCTGTCATAAAAATCTCTCATATCTTTCATATCAGTTTGATGTTGAGTTCTTTCTGAATTCAATTGAGAAGTTAAATTTTCCATCATGGTTTTCAATTCGTTAATTGTTGTGCCGTATGATGCTTCCACCGCACTTAGTTTAGCATTCATTTGTTCAGCCATTGTGGCGGCTATATTATCTTCTCTTGCTGAATACTGGCTAGATAAATTATCCAAAGTTTCTTTAAATTCTTGTTGCAATTTTTCTTCTCTTTTACGCGCTTCCTCTTCGACATTTTCGGCTCTTTCTTGTGATTGTCTTAGTAACTCCTTAATGCCATCCATTTCGTTTTGAATTCTTTCTTTGTCGGTCATGTGGTTTCTAATCCTATCATTTATTTCGTCAAGATTTTTTGGACGATAAACTACACCACAATTAAACTTTAAATGAGCTCTTAATATGTCTCGACATTCTCGTCTTGACCTTAACTCAGGATCCTCCTCCTCGGTCATGTTATTAACATGAATAAGCTTTTTACAAGTGGTAAGTATATCAGCCACATATTCATTTTCAGCAGTCATTTTCTCTCTATCATTTTTACATTTTTCTGCTTTACGAAAACTTGGGAACTTGGTTCGTACAACTGTTGTATATTCACCAATATTATCGGCAAAGAAAACAGTTCGTAATAAGGTATAGGCTTTCACTTCCTCTTCAGTGAATCTTCCGCTAGTTACGAATAATATCTGATTTAAGCCATTCTTTATAGCGTTGGTTGCATCAGCTAACTTATTTAAGACTTCCTTTTCACCAAATCTAGTATCACCAATTCCAATTGTGTCTATTATATGAAAGTCAATATTTTCATTTTCCACCCGAAATACCTCCTCTTGGATACCTCTAGTTTCACTAACTCCATATTCACTTTCGGCAAACTTATCAGAATCGCTTATTACATTCGCAACTGTAGATTTTCCGTTGCCAGTTCTTCCCAATAATAAAACTGTGCGTTTTTCAATCATATTTTAATTTTTTTTCGATTGTCCCTTTTTCCAATAGCCTGGATTCTAATATTTCAGACTAAATAAACGTTATTAAAACAATTTATTAATGTTTTAAGTTCTAACAGTGGAATGAAAAAGAAATCCTAAATTGATTATTATCTGGGAATTTATTTAATAAATCTAATTAGAATTTAACCTTGTTCCGTTTTACTACGGTACAGGAAATCTGAAAACTTGAGTTTTATAGAATTAAAGATTATTAACTCATTGAAGATAAATTTGTCAATTTCAATAGCGGCTTATCTAATTTTTTTAAATATTCAATTCAATACAGCTTAATTCGGGTTTGGTGTATTATTTATATGCAGATTGTGAGTTCTAGATTTACATTTTATTGAAATATATAATTTAGGAAATATTTATCTTCAAAGTTGTCAACATTGGATCATAATCTATCGTTCAATTCTAGCATTTTTTGATTATTTCTTATTTTGTTTGTTCCGATTTACCGTATTTTTATATAGCTTAAACATCTATATAAGGGCTCAAAAAAACTTGATTTCATCCAGATAATTGAATATTGAAAGGTTTAATCTATTAGATTTAAGGAGATATTACTCCCGAAGACCATTTGAATATACTTCTTTAAGAAATACGCCACTTATGGAATAGCCTTATAACAATTTAATTGTGTAGAAAACTTGTTATTGATAAAAAAAAAAAAGTTGTATTCAACATACTTCCAAAAAAACCCCATTTATTAATCACGGAGAATGAATATGATTTGATAATCTTCTCACGCCTTCAATGCACATGGGAGCTTATGGATAATTCCAAGCTTAGATACAATTAGGACTATTACCCCAGTCGAACGGGTAACAACTCTAGATACGTATTGGATGAATCACATCGTGTGAAATATATTTTAATTCTGTATCATGAATCGCGATTCAAGATATTACAATTCACGGTACTGGCTCTCCGGATCATACAAGTGTAAGAAGTTAGTAAGTTTAGGAAGGTCGACTGAACTAAACTATTATGAAATCGGCGATTACAAGGATTATTAAAAAATTAACTATTCTTTCTCACAGATGGATTATAGATTTCCGATTATCACGGAAACAAGAACACTTTTACTAACAATTCAATAAAAAAAATATTTCGGTACAAATTTCAAAGGTTTGAACTCCATAATTACTTTATTCAAAGTACATATTTTGAAGTTTTTCTAGTTACATCTTCTGTCATGGGCGGTAATATCTATTGTTATGTCTTTAGGATTTTTACCAGAAGCATGACAAATTTGAAATTTAATTTATCTAGAGTTAGTACTCTTATATATCCCTACCTTGCGCATAAGTGTCATAACAAACTACACCTAATTTGTAACAGGTTTAAGCATTCATTATTATACTAAGCACTAGAGGCCTGGCCTGGGCCTGGGCTTTGGGATCTAATGCAGGCCTCTACTAAGCACTGTGATTCTTCTTTGTTTTCATTAATTAATTCTACGTCATAATATTCAGTACGCGTCTTGAAAATTTCACAGCCTCGATAATGAAAATTCACAACGCAGTTTCACTTTAATTCGTGCAACTACAACGTGCAATTGTGCGCGTTTTTGGTTAGGATCATCATTAATCGTCATTTTAAGAAAGTGGTCGGCTGAAGAGGTGTGAATTTTAGGATTACCATTTTGATGCAGTTAGGTTAGTTGGTTATATAGATATCAAGAATGTAATTTATGCAGTATGTAGATCATATTTTGAACTAACGCCGTCCCTAATAAAAAGGAAACAATGGTTTCTCGGACTTGAAGCGTTAGTATCTATACAACCTTGCTCTTGCCGTCCATTTTGTGCTGTTTTTTTTTACTTTAAACGTATATTGTATTTATCACCCGCATGTGCTTTTAATTAATTAAGGAGAATGCATAATTGGAGCTTCCTATATACGTGCGTACATACCAATCAATCAAACTAAGTCAAAATTGCTGCACCTCTGCAAAAAAATTCTCGCTATATGCCTTGACAACTTATGTTTGCTATCTATATATCTGCTTATCTAAGTTTTTAAGATAAATAAAAATGGTTTACAATACTGCTTATCTATTTATCTGGTTTCAATATATCCAAAAAAAGAATTAAATAAAATAAAAAAGCAAATTGCAACTTTATACGAACAATGTGACTGCAAAATGATTCTTTGGTGCTACTTTATACAAGTATGCATATTATGTATTTGCAGCTTCTTGATAAGACATTTTAATACACGGTCCAAATAAAAAAAAATAAGAAATAGTACGCCAATTCGCGTTTTTGAAAAAAAAATAAGAAAAAAAGATTTAATTGATTTAAATCGATTATATTTGATATTAATTAAAAATAAGGCGAGATTAATTTGATTCTGTGTTCTGTGTTTTACATTTCCTTTTCTCCCTATCCCAAAAAATTTGAGCTTATATACATATAAATTTTTATAGTCCCTGATATATTAAAAAACTTTTATAAATATATACAAGCGTGGTCGAGCAAAATTTAAGGAAAAAGGTCGCTCTGATCTAAGTAGATATGGGCAAAAAAAATAATATTAATAATTCTATATCATAAAATAATAAAATCCGCCCCCAGGAAGGAGAGAAGCATAATGTAAATCACCGAAATACCGGTTTTGGGTAGGTTCAAGTATTTCTAAATGAGGTTAATTGAAAATTATAAAAGAAAACCTTTAGGTAAGTTTTTGCTTTATGGAATTCAACTTCCGATAGTAATTAAAGCACAGCCGGAACTTGAATTCCATAAAGTAAAGATCTTCTAAATGCATTAGAAAATTTTAACTTACATAAACTGTAAATGGATGAATGATAAGTAAACATGTAGGATTAAAAAATTACCGTAATTTTACGTAAGTTGGTGTAAATTCCTTAAACTAAAATTAATATTGTGAAACCGGAATATCGTGACCGATCACGTGAAAAATGCACAAAATGAATAAGTTACATTTGTGTAATCTAAACGGTATTTCGGATCCAGAAGGGTTGATATGGAATAAGGGAGGATGTAAAGATAAATTACAAATCCTTAAAGAAATAAAACATTATTAAAAAACTTAAATAAGTAATTGTAAATAGGTTTAATTTGTTTTAATAGATAATAAGTGTACAGTCATATTTGTAAGTAATGAATTTAGTATTATAAATAAAGGCTAAAATGGTCTTTAGGAGTGATATGTTTTATTTGTTTTATTAAATAATAAGTTTTAATACATTATATTATCCATGATAAACATTAACGCTAATACCATTATAAATTTTTATAAACATTGCTTGTTTGAGTTTTTATTATATGACTTATTTTATTTGTCTTTGTTAACCAAAGTAACTGAAAGCTTTAATCACTTATTAATCAAATCTAACACCTTCTTTTGTAAAGATTACCTATTATATATTATATGGATTTTAAATAATAAAGTGACTGAATTACAATTTTCCAAGCACAACAATATGTAATTTTGATCATGTAAACAATTTGGGTTTAAAGATACAGATATATTTATGTAATAGTTTATAATTAGGTTATAATTTACATAAAAAATTATTTTTATGTAAATTAAAACTAGAAATAGATAAATTAAATCTGTATAATGAAGCTTGCAATATTATGCAGATTAATCAGAATTATACTAGTTTGCATAAATTCTAACAATTACTCTATGTAGTCTTACAAAAATTCTGTGTTAATTGTGCAATAACCTATTCTTAGTTATAATCTATTACTAAATATGTCTTATCTTGATTTGGAACAAAATTTTTGCAACTATAATATTAAATTGCAAATCTGGTCTAATTTATTTTATGATCTGAAATATGGTTTTAGAATAAATTCATGTAATTTTACTAAAAATTATTCATTAATAAATTATTTACAAATAATTAATTTACTAATAAGTTTATTTTACTAATGACTATTTCAATAATATTTTATTATATTAACAAGTTTTTTTAAAAAAAATTATACTAATCTTTATTTTGATTATAATTTAACTCTAATAAAAATGATCAAAATTACTTTGTTAGTAAAATAAGATTATTTCTTAAAATTTAACAAAAAACTATTAGTTAAAAATTTTAATTCTAAATTGCAATTACTAAATAAGCTTTTTTTAATAAAATTGATATTATATTGTTGAAAACAATATCTTTCAATTAGGGTACTAAACTTTCAAATAATATAATCTGTTTTTTTTTGTAATAAATAAAAAAACTTTTACAACATATTTATTATAATTTTTGAAACATTTAACAAAATTAGTCTAAATAATTTTTGGCAAATCTAATTAAGTAATTAATTTTGGTATAATAATAATATAAATTAGAATAAAATCAGAACTTAAAAAAGTTTTAAACATTAAATTACTAATATATTGAGGATTAGAAATTTATATAATTTAATAAAAAAATACAAACTAAAATTTAGATTAATAAAATAATATTGATAAATAATAAATTATTTATTTTGAATAGCTTAACAAATATATATAAATTAAATTTTTAAATAATAGAAATATAGTAGGATTTATTTTATTCAAAAATGCAATATATTTAATAATAATTTGAACCTTAATTGTCTTATATATTTTATTAAAATATTTATAAAACTTATATAAAAATTATTATTATTAAAATTAATACTATGTACTTTTAATACTTATTTTTTCATTATATACTTATATTGTTTTATCTAATAATAATTTATTTATATTAATTTATATACTTAATAATTTTATTAAGAATATATTATATAACTATAAACCAATTTGACTCTTATTTTAAAATAAAAATAACTTATATAACTTTATTAATCTTACTTTTTTTTAAAGTTCTCTTTAATTTCTTGCCTTTCTTTATTCATATATTATTATATTGTGTTTTTTATATTTAATAATAAATAAATTTAATAAATTAAATTATTATTATTACAGAATTATTTCATCTTATTAAAATTACAAATACCAAA